CAGGAGATAAATCCTAGGGCAGCCTGAGCATGAGTATTGAATGGTGAAGCCCATTTATACAGTAGGCCAGCCGGTGTGTCAAATGCCAGGGGGAGGCGCATTTGCCCGCCCAGCAGTTGCACCGTCCGTGCATTTCTTCACCTTGTGTGGCTGCAGCTTTGTCATGCCATAAAGTCTGTGCACGTAACGGAGCCGCGCACGCACGTTCACAGTGCTTGTGCCTGCACTACGCTGCAACGGCCTCGCATGTTCAAGAAACGGGACCAGCCGTGGATGCTGGTGAGGGCCCGTCAGAACAGAGCAGCTCCGAAGGGACCATCGAAAAGACAACAATAAAGCCCCTGACTATAAAACCTGGCTTTACAAAGTCGATGAACTTACAGCCAAATGCATCGTGTGTCGTCAAGTATTTTCCATCCGTAAGGCTAATCAGTGAGGGTTTACTGGATCTCTCGTTTTCTAAGGTGAGGCTATTTTATTCTCTGTATTTTAAAACAATGGCATTAACTAACGCCCGGGCCCGCATGCACGCACACGTTTGCATTAACAAGCAAAGGAACCTAACCCCCATCTCCCTATTTGAAAATAAGATTCACATTGCAACTGGCGATTTTGCAGTATTGTTTATTTCTACAATATGCTTAAAATGTGAAATTGTGACTCATCCGATGCTTTTGTTTCCACTGAAGGCAGAGTGACGGCTCTGGAGTGAGTGAGATTCAGAGCACAGTAGGTCAGGCATTAATGCCATTACATCATGTGATGAAATCTCCCGGAATAGAGCCCCCAGCTTCTGCTCCTGGCCCCCTCCCCTAGCCCCTGGTCTGGTGCATCATCTCTGACCTGACCCTGGGCGCTCTTTGGAACAAAGCCCTGGTCTCCTTGCCCTCCTCTTCCAGGAGCAGCTGAGCTGGCCCTGGATGCCCTTAACAGCAGAAAGACCTCTCCTCTCACCTCCCCCTCCAGTCCATTTTCCATCCCCATCCCCAGCTGGTTCCGGGACTCTCCTCGACTGGGCCCATGGGGCTTGGCAGCTCTGAGTGTTGCCCTGGGGCGGGCAGGGGCTCAGGAATGGTCCGACCCCTAACTCTTGCCCGATCCTGCAGGGGACTGGAGGGACCAGCCCTGGGTTCTGGCTGCCCCGGCCCAGGCGTTCTCCTAGAGGTCACAGTGGGAAGCTGCTAATGCGCTGGGATTTGCCGCAGACACAGAAGAGCCAGAAAATGTGATTATGCTCAGGACCCCCCTGCTTGCTCTGACTCAGTTACCGCCAAGCCTCTTTCTAATTGACTTAGCGCTCGCCGGGCACTTAGTGGCACCAGCAGCCCGTGCTGAGTGGAAGGGGGGGTTGCAAGCAGGACCGGCTCCAGCTTTTTTGCTGCTCCAAGCGGCGAAGAAAAAAAAAAAGAAAAACCTGATTGAGCTGCTGCCGAAGAGGAAGAGACGGAGTGAAGGACCCGCCACCGAATTACCGCCGAAGACTAAAGCGGAGTGCTTGAGCTGCCGCCGAAGTGCCACCAAAGCCCCGGACGTGCCGCCCCAATACCGGACAGAGAGCCACCCCTTTCTATTGGCCGCCCCAGGCACCTGCTTCCTTCGCTGGTGCCTGGAGCCGGCCCTGGTTGCAAGGTCAAAAGGAGGCACAGGGGTGTATCCGGCATGTGGTGCCATCACAAGGGGAGACGTGACGGGGCCCTGGCTCTGGGCTGTCTGGTGAGTCAGGCATCAGCTGGGGCAGCTGCAGTGGCTCTGATGGCTTTCCCTGCACTGTCGAGCTGGGGGCAGCGTCTTTCTGCACCTCCTGTCCCAGGCTGGCAGGCAGGATGCTATGTGCCGCTGGGCCCCGTGCAGCAGGGTGAGGAACCCGAGAGCAGCCCACTGCATCGCAACTTGGGCTCGGGCTGCGGGCAGCTACCGTCACCATCACGTTGGCCAGCCCTGCTCAGAGCAACGGCCGTGCACCAGGCTGGTCATGCCCCTGTGGCCTCCTGCGCCTGCAGCCCCTCCACAGCTCCCAGCGGCTGAGCTGAGCTAGGGGTAGCAATGGGGCAAGGCCAAGCAAACCGGCTCAGTGCTTGGCCGGGCCACACCACAGCCACACGTCACAGCTCAGGAGTGTAGATGGGCCCATAAACACTGAGCAGACAGCACCCGGCTCGCCTGCCCCACGGATGCTCTGAGAGCTCCATGAGAGATGGAGGTGAGGGGGCGTTGCAGCACCTAGCCCAGTGGGGCCTGGGGATGCCCAGCCTCATCCTGTATGGCCCTGTAAGGGGGGGAAAGGCGCTGGGGAGATGGTGTAACGAGGGCAAAGAGATCCAGGAGCTGCCCCCGCCCACTCCTGTGCCCAGGCATCACCATGCTCCAACCCAACCCACCTGCTGCCTGGCGTCTGGTCATGTGACCTCTGCCCTCCCGTCTCTCTGGGTACGGGCCACGGGGGGGCTACGCCGTCCTGCCTGGCACCTCTCTCTGGAGGAGTTCAGGATCCTGGCAGCTACATGCTCGTCCGTGAGCCTGTCATGGCACGGGGCAGCGGCATGTCATTGCTAATAGACGCGGCTATCACAGCCTTCCCCACAGCGCCCCCTGCTGGGACAGGCTGGGGCTGGTGAACCGGGAGTGCCCCTGCTCCTTACAGTGCCCACTGCTGGGAGAGGGGAGGCCAGGTGAGGGAGCTGTGATCACCCTACAGCCACTACTGCCCCAGCCATCCAGCCCCCCGTGCTGAGAGCGGCAGGGCCTGGGGTAGGCGTCACTAGGCGTGCCCCACAGCCAGTGTTCCCACCCCACTCCCGTTAGCCTAGTGCCATTTCCTGGACCCGGCTCACGGCAGCTTGGCGCCATTCCAGCCAGTGCAAACGCCAGGAGATGCCAGGCTCATGGCTCCAAGTCACCCCCACTGCGCTGGGCATTGGGCACTTCCTCGGCACATGGTTCACAGGGTTTCCCCTGCATGGACAGCCAGGAGGTGAACGGCCAGCAAGGGCCGCTCGAGTCGACGGTAGGCACCTGAGTGCAGGGCCATGGGGGCCGGAGGCAGGTCTGGATGGGGGGGGCGGGGGGGCAGTCCCTTGCCCCGGCTACAATGACACGAGAGGGCCAGTGGCAGGATAACGTGACAACACAACAGCCCCATGAAAGCAGCGGGCCAGAGGCCCACAGCACCGGAAACCCAGCAAGCCGCACTGCCTGCCTCGCGTGGGCAGCTCATCACGCAACTCACAGCGGAGTTAGCCCATCTGTACCATGATGCATTGCGCCCACTGATCTCCCGGGAGCCCCTGTGCCTGCAGGGCCCACTGGCGCTGACCTGGCTCGCCCGGCCGGGCCAGTAATAGCGTCTGCCCGAGTTCATTTCCTAGCTGTTTGGTGAAGTGCTGGAGCAGGGGGGAGAGGGCAGGCAGGCATGACGGGACAGCCCCTTGTGCCAGCACCACCAGACACTGCCGGCTTGGCCAGCAAGGCCTTGGTGCCACCAGTCCCTGCCTGGCTGTGAACTCAACCAGCAGCACCCGCCGGTGCAGTGCTTCCCGGGGGCCGCGCCAGCCGTTCTGCCCTGCCCTGGTCTCACGTCTCCAGCCCTGCCAAGGCGCCGGCCCACCCTATCGCCTAGCCGTGTGGCACAGTCACGGTGTGCAAAGGGGATGGGCTTTCACCTCACAGCGCTCCTGATTACCACATGGGCCCCTGCCCCCCAGAGACCGTGAGACAGCTCAGGGCCCAAGGTGAGCTCTGAGCGTGTCTGGGGGGGGACTGGTCTGGGCCCTGCGTTTGTGTGACCCAGGCTACGCTCTCAAGCCCAGCTTTTCAGCAGTGACTGGTGATTTGGGGGTATCTCCGTTTTCAGGAGCTCAGCCTGAGCAGTTTTTCACAGGACGGGGGCACGGCACTTCCTGGAAAATGAGGTGTCTCAAGCTGGGCTGCCAAAAACCTGAGCCCTCCCCCCCCATCCCTGAGCACTAACATTAAATCTCTAGGCTCTAGTCCTTATGATTGTAACAAACCCCTTCAAAATATGACCCAAGCGTCACGGATGCTGTGAGCTCTGCCGGAGTCTGCAGAGAGCCTGAAACAGCAGCTCTGAGGGGGTGAAGTGCCCTGATCATCTCAATGGTGCTTTCCTCTGAAACCTAAAGAAGACTATTCAAACGTCAGTAGTGTTCACTAAGCTGCTGCTGCTCAAAACCAGCCAGAAGGCTGAGTAGTGATCACCCTGTGAGGAACTGCCCTGTGAGTGGTGGCTTGTCTGACGCCATGAGTGGGCATGGCTGGGTTTGTGGGTGGCTCATGGGCGAGTGCTATGGGGTGAGCAGGCTCCAGAACAGCTGGGGAAATGTGGGGAGCAGCCATGGAGGAAGGGGAGCCCAGGGTGGGGCAGGGGGCTCCCTTAGGGGGAGAGTAGCAGGGACGAGGTGATGCCCTGGGAGAGGACAGTGTCCATGTGCTCCCTGCTGGTTCTGTCCCCCCTCAGCACGACGCCCAGCGACTCAAATGACTCCCTGGTCAGTGTGAGTTAAAGAGCCGTCTGGGCCCGGGGAGGTGGCCACGGCCTGCATGGACCAGCCTCTCTGCGGCTGGCCTCCTGGGGCCGACCTCTCGCCCCATCACAGCCCACTGGGCACATTCACTGCAGGAGGGGCTGGCAGAGCAGGGGGCGTAGAACGGGGCGGGTACCTGTCCCCGTGGCGGGTCACCTGGCTCTCCAGCCTCTGGGGGATTTGGCCCTGCCCTTGGGTCTGTACAAGGCTCTGGGGTGCGTGTTCGGCCTAGCGCTGGGGGCCTGTCCGGGTCGGCTCACTCGCCCCCAGCCCTGCAGAGAGTCACAGGGAAGCTGGGGCTCTCCGGGAACTCTGCTGCCCGTGGGGTGAAATCCGGATTGGGCTGGGGGTCTCCTGGTCCTCATCCCTCCAGTCAGTACTGGGGCAGCCCCACTCAGCCTGCCCATTGGCAGTGGGTCCCCAGTCCAGCCACAGCAGCAGGTGGGGGGCAGAGGCAGCTCAGAGCTGGCCGGGGCCCTTGGGGTGGGCCGGCGAGGAGGCCTGGGTGGTGCAGGCGTTACCAATGCCGCCTGGCGCCGGGGTCCTGTCCTGGCCAGACAGAGGAGAGATGGGGCGATTAGTGCCTGGGCCTCGCTCCACGGCCCCACCCCAGGTCACAGGGCATGGAGAACGGCCAGGGGAAGGCCCGTGGGGTGGCTCATCAGGCAGGCTGCTGTGCCCGGCTCCCGCAAGGAACGCCCAGAGCCAGCAGGGGCAGGGAGAGCCCATCCGGCCTGGTCTCTGGGCACTGGCTCTCGAGGTGCCAAGCGGCTGCATCTGTGATGGGCAGAAACACAATGTGTGACAGCAGCTGCAGCGCAAGGGGGCTGGGGCGGGCAGGGCACATGGCCCCCTTCTCCGGGCTCTCCCCTTGAGGCCACACACTCACTCCTCCCCTGGTAGCGGGGGTCCCCGCGGGGAGTCTCTCAGCACTGCACAGGGAGGATCTCTGCTGGGCTTTAATTCGGGGGTGGGGGGAGGTGCCCTGGGTACTCCCTCACTGCTCTCAAGCCTGGAGATGCCCAGTCACAGCGTAGGCAGTGGAGTCTAGTGGTGAGAGCAGGGTGCTAGGACTCCTGGGTCCTATTCCCTGCTTTGCCCTGCCTTGCTGTGTGACATGGTGAATCGCTTCCCGTGGATGGGGGCACCTCCCGGCCCGGGGGAGGGAGCGCCCTGGCAGGAGCAGGGCAGGATCATAGCGCGGGGCCGGGCCGGTACCTGATCGAATTTCCGGGCGCTGTACATGTCGTTCTTGTTCAGGAAGGTCAGTAAGATCCAGTCGCAGAGGAAGGAGCCCTGGGGAGCAGGAGAGCTGGGTTAGTGCCCGAGGGAGCCTGTGCCAAGCGTCCCGGGCACAGCGGGCACATACTCACCACTCCCACCGAGGTCAGCGCCGTGGCCAGGTTAATGATGGTGGGGATCAGGCTGAACTTCCCTGCCTAGGCAGAAAAACAGAGTGGTCAGCACTGCGCTCCTCACCCCCTGCCACCCGCTCCCCAGGGCTTCGGGTTGCCAACTTTGTAATACAGACTATAAAAACCCAGAACCGCCCCTACCCCGTCCCTTCCCCCTGGGCCCTGCCCCGCCTTGTCCCCCCAGGTTCCCCCCTGCCCCGCTCCTTACCCCAGGCCCCACCCCTGCTGTGTCCCTTCACCCAGGCCTCACCCCTGCCCCACCCCTTCCTCCTGAGGCCCCACCCCTGTTTGCTTCTCTTCCCCTCTCCCCTCTCCCTGCATGGGTGGGGAGGGACTCGCCTGCAGAGCCGGGGCTGGGAGCTGCAGCTGCCCAATGCAGGTAGGAGGCAGCCCCGGCGATGACCCGGCTCCTCTCCACCTCCCCCACCTGCAGTAACCAGACTCTGGGTGTCCAGTCAGTAGATCTGACCGGACACCATCAGGTCCCCTACCGGACATCTGGCCACCCTCTTGTGAATGTCAGTGACTCGGCCCAGCCTGGCATCACAGGGGGAGGGGGCGGTGGGCAGGGTCCCGCAGTGCCAGGCCCAGTGCGGGGGAGGGTTCTCTTCCCACCTGGCCATGCACAATAACGTCAATGCGGATCCCATAGGCCTTGATCAGGCTCCGCGTGTTCGTCCCGTTGCAGTTGTAATATTTGGCAAACCTGTGCAGGAGAGAGCGGGGATGAGGGGCAGTCAGCGCGGAGCAGCCAGGCCCGGGAGCAGGGGGTTGCAGGGCCCTGGGGGTCACCGCCCCAGAGGAGCAGGGGGACAGGTCACCTGTAGTTGTAGCCAGAAGACACCTGAGTTCTCTTGGGATCCAGCCTGCGGAAGGAATAGCTGGGGTTGCACGCGGAGTCGGGCAGGTCCAGGTTACAGTTCCAGTTTATGATCACCCCGATAACGCCGCCCTGCAGGAGACAGAGAGCAGGGCAGGACCAACACAGCTCTAGCAGGACCTCAAGCTGCCCTGGGCAGCACCCGGGGTCCTGACTTCCAGCCCATTGCCCCCCCCCCCCCGACCGCCTTGCATCTCAGAGCTCCCCTCTCTGCTCCCCGTATCGCCCTGCTGCCCGTCCGGCCAGACGCTTTCCCTCCTGCTCGCCCTGCAGGGCCCACCCAGCGCCAGAGGGCAGCCGCCGGGCTCCGGGAGCTGCCTGCCAGCCTAGCTCAGCACAGCGCCCGGCAGACTGGTGCTGGCACGAGGGAAGCGCGAAGGAGCTGGCTATCCAGGCCCAGGGGGCGTGTGGAGGGGACTCAGAAAGCGAGCGTGTGGCTCTGGCGTCAGAGGGGACCCAGCAGCTGACCTCTGCCCAGGAGGGGGCACCCCGAGAAGAGAGGCCAGGATGGCGCAAGGCTCTGGGGAGTGGCAGAGAATGGCCAGTGGGCCAAAGGGCATTCACCTGCCAGGCCCTCCTGCAGCAGCTGGTGCCGCCCGCGGGCACCTGGGCAGTGTTGGGCGCAGGGCGTTCAACCGGATTGAGCGACATGCTGAGCTCAGCACAGAGCTGCCTGCAGGCCTGTGCTGTCTGTCTGCCACGGGGTGTCTCTGGCGTGCCAGGAGCTCCCTGCCACGGCACCTGCTCGAGTGCCCCTGACCCTCAACACTCCCTGTGCAGGAGGCAAGATCGGCCGCGGGATGGGCCTGAGCCGGAGCCTTCCCTCGGGGGAGACCCGAGAGCCACGTGCCCGAGAGAACCCAGCCCTACGAGAGACCCTGCAGCGGTCTCACCAGGCCAGAGCCCGTCCCCTGTCGCCGGGTGAGGGTCCCCCCTCCCCGCACACCTGGCCAAAGCCCGTCCCCTGTCGGCGGGGGAGGGTCCCTGCACACCAGGCCAGAGCCCGTCCCCTGTCGCCGGGTGAGGGTCTCCCCTCCCCGCACACCAGGCCAGAGCCCGTCCCCTGTCGCCGGGGGAGGGTCCCCACACACCAGGCCAGAGCCTGTCCCCTGTCGCATGGTGAGGGTCCCCCCTCCCCGCACACCTGGCCAGAGCCCGTCCCCTGTCGCTGAGGGAGGGTCCCCCCTCCCTGCACACCGGGATAGAGCCCATCCCCTATCGCCGGGTGAGGGTCCCCCCTCCCCACACAGCCTACCTGTTCGGCCAGCGCGGTGAAGTTCTCTCCTGCCTGCTCCACAATGGAGCCCAGGCGGAAGATGGGGCAGTACAGGTCCGTGGTCTCATTGAAGGTGCAGCCTTTGAGGTAGCCGTTCTTATCGCCCTTCACGTTCCCTCTGAGGAGACACACCGAGAGCTGCTGAGTATCTCACCCCCATGTACGTGAACAAACCCAGACCCCAGGGC